AAGAAATTCAAATTTTTAATGGATTTGCAAGACAAAAATATGGAAAACATAGATCTGGAAAGTGTACGTAATATTGTTGATTATTATCCAGATGACGTAGATGAGCATTTAGTGAATGAGTGCATTCAGTTAAAATCTTATTTACTTCAGTCTAAGCCAGAGTCTTACACCACTTGCAGTGAAATTTGTATGCTAATTTATGAAAAGAAACTTGTTGATGTTTTCACAAATTGCTATATCTTAAAGATTTTTATAACTTTGCCAATCACTAGCAGTGAAACGGAGCGCTCTTTCTCCAGGATGTCATATATAGAAAACAAATATAGGACAATAATGTCGAACCATCGACTAAATCATTTATCAGTTCTTTCCCTGAATTGTGATTTAACGAAGGACTTACAATGTGATGAGAAAGTAAAGAAATTTGCAGCACAAAACTGCAGAAAAGTTGCTTTATAATTTATATAACATAACTACACATAACCTGTCAATTTCTTTTGCAATAATGTTGTACAGTGGCTGTTTGTATACACAAATAAAAATAAATGAAAAAAAAAGTAAATAAAATTATTTTAGTGCCCTATTTTTTTCTATATACTTATCTACATCACTATAGAAAACAATTTTTCGACAAAATGGCTATTAGGGCCCCTAAGTAGTTTCAGCCCAGGGCCCCACAAATTCACGATCCGCCCATGTAGAGGGATGACCACTTTGATCAAGCTATGAAGGGACTGAGGGTGTGCGGTATTGGTCCTCGATAAACAGTTCTACCGTAAAGGGCACAATTTCACTTACAGATCATTGGACTACCAAAGTAGAGGAGCCATCCCCTCTGCTGAGGATCAAGATTACGACGCCATGTATTCGGATTATTCTCAGGGATACTTCCCAGATCGTCTCCAACCGGCCATTGTGCAGCTCTAACGCAATGTAAATAAACAGCAACTATGACTCTACTCATGCAACCATGTAAAATGTTGTCATAGTTCTAGTGCGACGTAAATGAACTAGAACTACAACAACTATTTTACGCCACCTGTAGCCCATTTCGATTGCCAGTAGCAGAAAAGATAAGTAACCAGAATCTTTTTATTTTTGATTAGCAGACTTGGCAACGTTTGCTATTGACCGTAGTTTTTGTTTGTTGACAATTAGCAGCAAGTTGCCACGTAATCTATGTTCCTTTAATTTTCTAAAATCAATTGAATAAAGTTTTTACTTTGAGTAATATTTCAAAATCTGATCATTTATACAGCCCATTATGGGCAGTGGAGAAAGTACTCTTGTTCCTGGTGGCGGAACTGAAGGTTATCATGTTTTGCGTGTAAGTATCTATCGTCAAATGATTTATGTTTTATGTAAATGCAAAGAATTGTTATTTTAGTTTAATAAGATAATAATTGAATTGACTTTATATGCAACACCTTTGTTTCAGTCAAGCGTATTAATTTCCTATGCTATTTTCACTTCTGCGATACCCGGTTTGTCGTTAAAATGAAGTCGACACTACGTCGATGAGCTTTTTTTTTTCTGGTTGCAGTGTTTAAGAAAATGGACACAGATGGATTTTTGTATTTCAGAGAATGAACTCATCTGTAAGTGCGTAATTAAGACAGTGAACATATGACACATAGCTGCCAACTCGACTGGATTTTCCAGTAGAGTACCGAATTTTGCCACTTTCTGGATGTCTACTGGTTTAATAAAAATTCTCCTGGTTTTTGTACAATTTTAAAAAAATTCCATAAAATGAGTAAGTTTTCTTAAAAAAATCCCTATTGAAATAAAATTTTTGTGCAGATTATTGCTTGTTTGATTATTCAAATAAATGTAACTGTTAAATAAATGAAGCGAGCCTCATTTATAAAATTCAGTTTACTATCTTTGATGATTTAAATGCCTATTACTATTCAAAATTATGAACAAGCATAATATATAGCATTTCAAGATCATTTAATGTCATGACTGGAAAATATTGCAGTTTTTCTATTTTGATGACTATAAAAATCATTAAATTTCCCTTTGTGTAAAATATTTAGTATATTTTGCAACATTTATCATGATGCTTATGTTATTTCATAAAAAATATACCGTTTTTTTTTCTATCGATGTTGCCAGCTGTGTATGATAGTAATATGGTGTTATTACGACGTGCAAGGATATTTCCGTAACCCGAACTGTCACGCCAACTACGAACACTAAGGTGCCAAATAGATTTTAAACTTGCAAATGTTTTTAAAAAAGCATGTAGATGTTTACCCAGGAATGGCTGCAAGTTATACATTTCGGGTTGGTCCCTTTCTGTGATCAGGGGTCTGTCCAGACATTTTGTAAGAGGNCAGGGAAAACACAGGGAATTTTTTTTCCAGTTTTGAGTGGCAACCTTGGTTAATTGTAAAATTGTGAAAAAATTACTAGTAATTTGTGAATATAAAGTAAATGTTATGTCACATTCTTTCAACCAGGGTCGTGTTTTTGTGAATTTGCGCAAATAGGGTCCTGCGATTGCAAAAACTTTTTCAAGGAGTTTTTAAATTGTTAAGTTATAGATATACAAGATCATGCTCAACACTGTAAAATTATAATTAAAAAAATTAAATTATCAAAAATAAACTGCAATTATTAGCGATGCAACATAAAGTATTTGATATTTAGCTTATACTGCTGAACGCAGGATATATTCATTTCGGACAAATAAAGGAAGAAGCGTGTGTCGAAAACAAAACTTAGTTCGTTTACATCTGCCTTTCTTTCCCCTCCTTCCTGGGAAGGATTTATTCGATTAACAAAACAATAATGAAGATAAACAAATTTGTGAAGGGTCTGTTATTAAGTTAAAATATTTTGTGAAAGGTCCGTTTTTATGAGAAGATATTTTGTGAAGGGTCCGTTGACGGACCCAAATTTCTTCTAAACAGACCCCTGGTGATATTTATTTTCCTTTTCATAGTTTCTCGCTGGCTGTTGCATGGAATTTGCCAAGATTTGACAATTATTCTGCCACAGATCACAATACAGAAATTCCCCCTGATGTGCTAATTTTGATTTCGAGTTATCACTGGGGAGATTCCAGTATCCTGATTTGTTTCAATAACAGGGGTGATTGTGCTCCGAAAAAAAACCGGATTTCTGGATTTTTCTCTAACTGTGATCCGGAGATCGAAGGTTCAGACGTTTAAAAAAAATCATTGATCACATAAGTTTCCGGAAATCAAATTTTCTAAAGTGGAACTTAAAAACACAGTTTATATTATTTGTTTGTAAAGGAGAGCCAGATAAGCTTATATTCAAGATTAACATTCATTTTTTATCAGTAAATAGTTATTATAATCATAAACTCAAGAAAGAAAGACATATTTGTAAATTTCAATTACTTCTCCAGGTCATCATAGGTATGTGTAAATGGTATAGGTATGTGTAGAATTTTAAATATATTTTAAGTAAAAGAAAGATTGAGAAAAAGGAAAAAAACCTTGTTTAAATTTTTTTCCAATTTTTTGATTTAAACTTCTTTTTTTTTTAACTTAAGAAATTTTCTGGAATTTTGATTTGGGCTCACAATCACCCCTGCAATAATGAATGGACCAATGTCAAGTTTTTGTAAGTTCCAAGCAGCTGCCTGCGAGAACCTTAAAAAAAAAACATCAAAAGAGACCAACTCGTAGCTGCCCCTGGGCAAACATCTACATGTTGTTTTTTTTTTAAATATTTGCATGTTTAAAATTTATTTGGCACCTTGGTGATTGTAGTTTGCATGCAGATCACAATACGTAAATATTCCCTTATCACTTTCTGACAGGTTTTGTTCATTACAATTCAATCAATTTTAATGTCATGTTGTTTGGTGATAGTTTTCTCAGCAGTTACTTATCATTTTATTATTCGTCACTCGGAAAGTTCGTGTTGATTCCATAACATTGGGTAATGCACATAAGTATAAAATTAAGGATTTGTTCAAGTTATCACTTTTTCAGTTGCTCAATTTGTCACAATTCCATAATTATCTGCATCGTCTTCGTGATAGTTTTTTTGGCTGTTATTTACAATATTTTCATCCCTGTCTATATTATTGTTAATAAATTATTGCAACACTTGAATTTCTATTTTTCAAGTTAATATATATATCTGTGAAAAGAAATTATCTAATAAAGGGATAGTTTTTAACAATCTCAGTGAGTGTTTTGCTATGTGGTGCCGATTATACTGTAGCCTCAGTACTGTAAATGCAAATCAGTGAAAGGATTAAAATTCAAACATAGATTAAAATGTGTGCTGTCATGAAACTGCATTTTTACAAAATATTTCAAAAATTGAAGACGAAGCTACTATATGAAAAATTTGAATATCCTTAAAGCTTGCTAAATTCATTGAGCTGGGATGGCTAAGTGGAAAAAGCATTCGCCCTCCAATGAGGTGAACCGTTTTCAAATCCCAGCCATAGCTAGTCAATACGAATCCGCATCTGACTTGCACTGACTACTGTGCTGGCCTGAAATATCATCAGTGGTGGACGGATCATGGGTTAGAGTCCCTTTGCTGTTAGGTTAACCGTGAGAGACTGTTGTGGTCTTCCTCTCCACGTAACACAAATGCGGTTTAGTCCTGTAAAAAAAGTCCTCCACGATTGCAAATTTCTCCTAATACCTGATCCAGGAATTCCTTTGTCTTATGGATTGGGTTAAAAATTTCAAGCCCATTAAGTTGAACATTAGTAGTCGTGAACTCAAAAAATAGGGTCGGCTGTTCAGTGACTGTTATAAATTGAAATAAATTTACTAATTAAGTGTAGAAGTGAAAAAATGTGCTACCTGCTGAAAGCATAAGTTATCGGAAATGTTACATTTCACTCTCAGTGGCAATGTTAAATATAATATATTCATTCTTATTCGTCCGGACAAAGTTTCAATTTAAAGGCTTTTAAACTCATTAAATTTTAATGCTAAAGCATTTGAGTATCAACTAATAATAATAGTAATTGTTTACATCATTTTTGGTCACAAATTTTTTCTCATGCTTTATGATATTTTCAGTTAATGGATATAGGCATGAAGCCAAGTAGAAGAAAAAGTTCTACTTGGAAACTAAAGGTTCTACTTAGAAGAAAATTTTCTTCGCAAATTCTCTTTCTCCTTCATTACTAACTTGAATCTTAAAGTGTAGAAAACGTGAGTTCAGACAAACATAGAGTAAGCCAAGAAAATCTAAATACTGAAAAGAAAAACTTAAAATATGCAAATGAAAATAAATTATGGGATGATAACTTGAGATTACGCAACAGAGAAGTTCTCTTCTCATAATTTGTTTGCATTTTAAAATTTTGAGGTATTTTTTTCAGTAATTGAAACTTTATGACTTACTCTAAGTTTTCCTGAACTTTTTCTTTCTTTTAAATTTTAAATTAATAATGAAGGGGAAAGAGAATTTGTGACGAAAATTTCCTTCTACGGCATGGCTTCCTCTTAAAATTTGTACTTGTCATGAACGTCTTTTTTTAGTTATTCAACAGCTCCAGTAATATAAAATAAATTATTTTAACAAGTTTTTAATAACCTTTTCAGAACTGAATTGTTAATTCATTTCTGAATTGTAAAATTAATGGTAGATGAATTTACTCATCATTATTGCTTGAATTTAATTCTTCACCATGTGTGTGGGATTATTTAAAATTAAATGAGTTAATTCTATGTTTAAACCGAAAATATCCTTTGTTCCTTTTCAATGAAAACTAATTCATATTATACTTGTAGGTACAAGACAATTCACCAGGATCCAAGGCTGGCTTAGAGGCATTCTTTGACTTCATAGTGGCAGTTGGAACTACTCGCTTAGTAAATCATTTCTTTTGTCTTCTTATACTTGAAATGAAATGTAAATTTTTTCTTTAACCAATTGCAGCATAGAGACAGGGTTTGTTGGTGTTTAAATCAACTGATTTATATATATATATTTAAAAAGTTCAGAAACAGTGTTTTAAATTATTGATACTTTTATTATTTTCCTTTCTTAGTTTTAAAATTTAATTTAAATAAATTGCTGCATTAATTAATTTTAGTTAACAAAATTTCTTTTTTGGTGTGTGTTAAATTCCAACACGTTTAAAATAGCATTTTTAAAAATCTTTTAATTCTTGAGATTGAAAGTACATTTTAAAGTACCTAAAGTAAACATTTAATGCTCTCTTAATATAGACTTGCATAGCTGTAGAAAGTAATTAATAAACATGAATTTTTTCCACAAAAAAATGTTAATTAAAATTCTACCTTTTGATTGAAAAAGCATGGAATTAAAATTTGCATTATATTTTATTGGTGGGAAATGTATATTTCTAAAGCTTGAGGTTATATTAAAAATAAATTACCCTAATTGCCAAAAATAGAAAAAGAAATGCTGCTGAATTGATATTTTTTTCTTGATGTAGTGTTATTCTTCCTTTTCAAAGTCTATTTGAAACAGTGGGGTTATTCACTCTTATTTTTTTCTCATAATATGTTTACAGTATATTTGACATTATCAGCTTTTTCTATAAAAAAATTTTGTGAAAAAAAATTCCAATGAGTACATAGATTTTTTAAAATTTTTTTTAGCTTAACTTATCTATTTTGATATAGGATTAAAAGTGAATATTTTAATACAAAAATATATGGGTTAAATATTTATTTATTTTCTGATGAATGACTACATTTAAAAACACAATCTGTTACATTTATTTTTTCATTTTAAAAATCAAGAGAGAGAAAAAGAAATCTTAATTTTTAATTAAAATTATGGTTTGCTAATTCAAACTTTATTTTAATAGTTAAAGTATTCTTGAAATTCTCTATTTCATCTAGTCTTTAAATTTCAATCATGCATTTGTTTCAAAATAATTCCTATGCATTCAAAGCTATGTATTATAATGAAAAATTGTTTCAGGTAGATAGAGCTTCTAAAATGTTGTTATAATATTGTTTTAATATTAATTTGATTAAAATTTTATATAAAGTTTTGTTAATCATAAATCAAAGTTCTTACAGTGTATTTGCATAAAAATAAAAAAAATCTGATCTAAATCAAAAAATTCCAATTTAAATAAATAAAAAAAATTTGATTTTTTAAAAATATAAAAAATTTTAAAAAAATCTCAAACCCTGCTTAGAGATAGATCACTTATGGTGTGAAGCTACTAAATTTTAATTCTATCATTATAAAAAAAAAATGAGACAATGTGCTACTTCTTTAATCTTTTAATAATTACAAATTGTTCTATTATTATAATTGTTACTATTTCTTATTAATTGTCTTTCTAAATTGGAATGGCAAAAAAAAAGTATAATTTTTCTGTTTCAAGTGATATTATTTATCAGCACCACCATTTATGAATGAAATTTTTTTAATATTTCTCATTAGTTTACTCTTACTTAAATTATATTTTTTAATTACTAATTTACTTAAGCCACTTTAGAGACCACTGCTGATGTGTTCACTAATATTTCAATTTGTGTAAAAAGGATAAAGCAATTGTGCTGGACTGATAATTTTGATATTTTATATCTTATAAGAGATTTCATAGATTTAAATAACAATTGTAAAAAAAAAAAAAAGAAGAAGAAGTAATTTAAATCAAAAGTTTTTTTTTAAATTACTAATTAGTTTTTTTTTAAATTACTTTTTTAAAGAAATCACTAGTTTGATTTGCAAAGAATTATAATATGAGACATTTTAAAGTTTTCATTGTTTTATAATTCATTGTTTTATAATATATTAATTTTAAGAAAAAGTCTATATTTTTTAAAGCTTTGTTTTTTTTTTTTTGTTTTTTTTTTCATTTAATAAATAGGTTAGTTGAGTTATTCTACATCAAAACACAATTTGGTAATTTCAAACATTAAAAAAATAAATAAACATGAATTAATCTTTTTATTTGTTTGTCAGTAAATAAATATGATGCATATCTCTTCCAAGTTTTAAATGTGTTGTATTATGGTTTTCTTAGTGTAGTCAATGTTCTATTATAATCAAATCAAATATTTGTGGACTGATATTCTTTGCTTTCAATGACTCTAGAATCAAGACAATGATACCTTAAAAGAGATACTGAAAGTGAACATTGAGAGGCCCCTTCAAATGACGGTGTACAGCACTAAGAGTCAGACGGTGCGTGATGTAGAGATCACTCCTTCAAATACCTGGGGAGGGCAGGGACTTCTTGGTGTCAGCATCAGATTTTGTTCCTTTGAAGGTGTTAATGAAAACGTTTGGCACGTATTGGTAGGTGTTCATCCCCATTCTTCTTAAATTATTTCAACCTAAATGAATCCAGCCCTCATTTCTTTGACTACTATTTATGTGACAGTTAAAATAAAATACGGCAGAAGTCAAACTTTTTCTAGAATGATTTTGAGTATTAATTGCACAATTAAAACATTCTTTAAATGAAATGTTTTAAAGTATGCATAATTGTTCATAAAAACTATTTATTTGAATATCTTTCAGGAAATTCAACCACATTCCCCTGCAGACTTGGCTGGTCTTTACCCTTTTGATGATTACATAATTGGGGCAGATTCTGTCCTTCATGAGGTAATTCTTTTTATTCTCTTTGTATGTTAACCAGTAAGAAAAGAATACCTTTTGTCTAGAAGTGTACACTTAAGGTTCAAGTAATTTCTGAACAAATAATTTCCCTCCGACAGCTACAAAATTCAGAAAATATTTTTCTTATTGTTTGGAAACACTGATCTATAAGATCTCTTTAAAATGTGAATACTTTTTGAATTGAGAAAAGAAGTTCTAAACTCATTGATAAGTTATCATGACTTAAATTTAATATTTTTAAGATACATATAAAATTAAATGAAAGCTTAGGCAGAAGAACGAATGTTTACATTTTGCTACTCACACATTTTTGTTGCTGTTTAACTTAATTTGTTTTAAGAGAACTTAGAGTTTTAACTTAGAATAGTTTAATGTATCTAAATTCATCATTGAATATTATTAAAAAATTGCCTCCTTGTCTATAAGTTTCACCCCCTTTGTTAGTTATAGTAAAAAAAAAAGGTGACAATGGATCCATTAGATTTAAATGAAGTAATTAAGCGTTTAAAACTGACATTGCTTTCTGTATTGAAAATGACAGATTTTTCACTCTGGTTTATCGGGGATTTGACAGTAACTGAGAGTACTTTTGATTACTTAACTGTGAATACACCTTGGGGGCATTATTCATTTTTGAAAGTTCCCTTTTGGTTAGCCTCTGCCCCAGAGATTTTTCAGCGAGTAATGCCATTGATTTTGACTGGTTACGTCGAGTCATTCAGTGGCTGATCTGGGCTAACGCAGAAGACGAATTAACCAGTCTAACAAAAGAAAAAGCCTAAACAAAGAAATAATCTGCGTTTGAAAGTTAAAATTTTTAGTTCAGAAGTTATTGAAATTGGTGCATCCAAGAATTACAGCTGTTACAAAGTTAAAAACTCCCAACTTATGTCGTTGAATGACAGAGATTTGTTGACATGGTGAATTATGTTTCTAAATTCCTTCATCAACTATTTCATTGCATAGAGTTCTTCAGAAAAATGTTATTTGGTCATCTGATCAAAAAAAAAAAAATGCTTTCTTATGTTTAAAGGAAGAATTACAAAGTTAGCATATTACAACGTAAATAAACCAGTTGCTCTGTCTGTCGATGCATTATTGGAAAAAAGATGCGTTATTGAAAACCATTCAGAATTAAGTTTGGTTGCTTTACAACAGGTTTATGATGTCTCACAAAAAGTAGAATTTGAAATCACTATTGGTATGATTTATCCCAATTCTCTTGCTTTATATGTTCTAAAAATAGAAGAAGTGAAATCAGAAGTATAGAGAATAAAAGAACTGAAAAAACTAGGAGCAAAAATGCTGAAGCTAAGAGCAAAAACTGTTAAAGGAATAAATATAGTTGAAAAATGAAGAAATAAACTGATATTTTAGTTTTTTTTTTTTTTTTAATGTTGTGAAGCTCCTTCTTAGATAAATTTGAATAGTGTAATTTTAATTAATATTTAATTTTCTCTTCTCAGAAATAGTGACTGGGAAAACTGTTCTAAAACATAACTTAAATTATGTGATGTGTGCATCTAATTTTTAATTAATGTTTTTTTTTTTATTTTTATCATAAAGTTTGAAAAATTAAGTTAAATATTGTTAAATATTATGCATAACTTTTTTACTTGTAAATTTAAAATAATTCAATTTTCAGATTTTAACTGCAATAATTTTCTAAATAATTCAACATAATTTTTGTTTATCATAAAGTTTTGAAATTTAAGTTAAATACTGTTATTAAATATTATGCATTTCTTTTTTATTTGTAAATTTGAAATAATTCAATTTTGAAATTTTAACTGCAATAATTTTCTACATAAGAACAATAATTATTCTTTAAATAGATATTATCTTTGATTTTTATAGAAATGATTCACAAGTTTGCATTTAAAAATGTGTGAATTATTTTTAAAGATTCGAATCTTATTTAATCCTTAAGAAATGAAACCAGCTACAAAAGGTCCTAAATATTATTCTTCACACGAAATTTGTTTATGTTTAGAAATGTTTTCCTTTTTACATAATAATGCAGATGATTCTTCATCACATTTTTAACTATTTATCCCTCTTTTTTAGTAGTACTATTTTATGCATGAAGGATTTGTTAGGTAAAAGGTCGTAATTCTGCTTCCTATTTTATGTTGTATATAAATTGTTTCAGCTGATTTTATTCACTTTTTTTTATTATCTATGTACCATTATACTTATTTTGTCTATTTTACGCAATAATTGTGATAAACAGGAATAAATTGGAGAAAAGAAATATATAAACTCAAGGATTCCAAAGGAAATTTAATAAATGTCAAATTAAAATTTTTAAAAAAAATAATTCTTTCCTACGTATTCATCACATGACCGTATGATATATGAATAAAAACAGATTCTTTTATTTTAGTTTTGAAACTAGTTTATAAAAATTGTTGTTCACATTTTGATCTGCTTCAACATTCTTTGTGCAATTAAACTCTGCATTCGTATCAACTCACTTGAAAGTTAGGATAATTCAAAAAGGGTAACACACCTCTTTGTATACAGATTTTATATAAAATATATAGTGTTATGCATTGAAATGAAAAATAAATTAATAATATCACTTCTGAATAATAATTCATACCTGCCAAGTCTCCTGTTTTTTAACAAAGACTCCTGTATTTATCTCCCGTTTACCTGTATATTCTCAAATTTCTCCGTATTTGTTGAAGTAATTTTTTTTTAAAAAAAGAAAGCATTTGATAAAAGCATCCGCAAAGGCAAATTTCACCCAATACTTGATCCAGGAGTTCCCTTGTTTTCTGGATTGGGTTCAAAATTACAGGGCTACGGAGTTGTTACAGTAGTTGTTATCCCAAAATTGGGTCGGCTAGTAAAATCTTCATTTTTTTATTTCTCCAATATTGGCAAGTATGATAAATAAATTTCTTTTAAAATTATTGTTGTTCATTTAATGTAGATGATCAATTCATGTATTGACGTAGGAGAAAGAATTAAAAAATTTCAAAGAGAATACATTTTTTTAAAATTTAAAATATACTTTGATTTCATTGTATATGAAATATGAAATTTTTTGAAAAGAAATCTTTATCTTTAATCTACTCCAGAAGTATGTTATAGCACATTATAGCAGAAGTATGTTATTTGAGCTACCTCTATATAGCCAAATATATAGAGGTAGCTCAAATAGTTTGTTTGCTACCATTTCCAAACTAAATATTTTTTCCATATAAGAAAATAATATACATGTCTTATTATTTTTTTAAGATTATTAATTAAAAAATTACCTTTCACGTAAAATACTTTAGAGTATTAACACTTTTTGGGGGTGTTATAAAAACCCTTCCTACACAGTATGAAAAAAAAAACTGGCTGACCTAAAAAATTTTAGGAACAAAATCTTTAAGAAAACTTGGAAATTTGAAACCTGATTTGAGTGGCCAGAAACTGCTTATATTAAGTTTACACACATTTGAACTGATCAAATGTCTTAATATTATTTTTGGGTAATACAAATATCTAGCAAATACAAAAATATAGCAAATTGCTTAATATAAATTTAAAAAACAATGCTGATCGTTGGTTAGTTCTAGTTTAAAAGAATCAACAGAAACTATCACATAAACTGATTAGAGCTATGTTACTAATGTGTGCTTTATTATTTCATTCAGAGCAAAGAGCGCTATTATTTTTATATCTATCTCCAGGATTACCATTTAATATTGATTGCGAAGACTAGTTTTAAACTTTAAAAAAAAGTAAAAAAAGGAATATATTTTTATCAATATATAACACTTTGATCAATAAGCAGGAAATGATTTTTTTTTCTATTTTATTTTGTCATTAATTGAACTTACTTTTGAATCTCTAATAGTTTCTTCAATTTATTCCTGTTTATCACAATTATATTTGGGTTAATGATGTAGACCAAATTGCAACTTAACAATTCTTTAATTTCTCATAATTTTGATTTCTGCATTAGTTTGAATTTTTTAGTATTTTATGGGAGTATTTTACAATTGGTGTACATTTAAAAAAAATTATAGGTTTTAACTTCATCCATTTGGGATTTATCTAAGATCCAAGGTGAATATAGAGCACATAGCTGCCAACTCTACTGGATTTTGTCAGTTTCTCCTGGTCTACCGGTTTAATTAAAATTCTCCTGGTTTTTGTATATTTTAGAAAAATTCCTAAAATTGAGTAAGTTTCCTAAAAAAATCCCCATTGAAATAGAATTTCTAACAGATTATTGCTTGCTAGAATATTTAAATAAGTATTACTAATACATAATGAAGCGAACCTCATTTGTAGAAATCAGTTCAAACTTTTTTCATTCTAAAGTGTTCAGTTTATTTTTCTTTAGAGCTCTCTTTTTAAGTTAATTTTTAAAAAAATCTTAACTATGATATTAACCTATTAATATTTAAAATTATGAGTAAATTTAATTCATAACATTTCAAGCACGTTTAATGTCAATCATAACTGTAAAATGTTTTGTGTGAAAAGTACATTATGCAACAATTATCATGAAATCTTTCCTAGAGTAATTATTATTTCTCTTTTCAGTCAGAAGATCTTTTTAGTCTTATTGAAGCTCATGAGGGCAAAGCTCTGACTCTCTATGTTTATAATGTTGTGTCTGACCTGTGCAGAGAAGTTGTCATCACACCCAACAAGAATTGGGGAGGAGAAGGAAGGTCTGTTGTTATTTCATTTTTCTGCTTTGTCTCCTTTGTCAACCATTGAGTAAATGATAAAGCAATTGAAGAATTGTTTCATTCTGATATTAAAATAATGTAGATTGAGTCAATAGTTTTTGAGTAGAAGAGTTATTCATCTAAATGCAGAGATGATTGTGCTCTGGAAAACCTTTCACTGACCGCTTTCCGGAAATCCAGAAGTTTTGAGAAATCGTCGATCACATTTTTGTGTAGAAATTCTTGTATATCTTATTTAAAAGTATTAGAACTAGAATTTATACTTGGCATCTCTTACATTTGTAAATGTTTTTTTTTTCTAGTGGAATAATAAATGTGATTAGAGACAAAAGTGAACTGATAAATAATTATTCATTTAAATTATGCTGCATATAATTTCATTAGAGTTTATAATTGTTATATATTGTATAGAGTTAGAGTCATATAATTGCTTTGAAAATATCAATGATTTAAATTTATGAAGACTTTTATTTTTTGAAATGCGTCTTGAATGATTTTACTCAAGAAAGTTTCACGATTTTTGCTCTCACGATCACCCCTGTAAATGTAGGAAAATTTTGAAGTCTGGTAGATTCTTGCGTGTGGGCAAACATAGACATTTTTGTCTCTCTATATTATACAAAACAGTTACTGCTGCTATATCGCCCTTAAAGGTGCTTTTTTCATTGGGTGTTTTTAAAAAGTGCTTAATTTTCTCCTTTCGAAAATGAGATTTTTTTTTCTTTACCATGTCGATTTTTGCCATGTATTATGCAAAAGCATGCTTTTCCCATTGTTCTATCCAACGTTATTAACAATTCATTCAGCCGCAAGCGATTTCGGCGTGCCATTGGTCCATAGCGTATAAAAACACCAATGATTTTACATGTTTGAGGAAATACTTGTAAGTCCGCATGTGCATATACTGATCTGGGTTCGGTGAGATTATTGCACTCTCGTGTGCAACTCTGCTGCATTTTGTAAGATATTCTCAATTTCAGGCTTCATTTTTCACCCTCTGATATCGAAACGAAAAATCTCTCGAACATTTTAAATGGCTAATATAATCAAGAAAAGAGTTCTTTGTCATCTTATAAAGTCTTTGAAAATTATTTTGCATTTTGTTTATGTATATGGTTTTTTTTTAGTGCTTGAAAAAAGTGCTTTAAAAAGATTTGGCTACTCACCCTGTGCCATAACTCATGAGCAATGTGAAATTTTTCTCACTACAAGAGAAATGTTTATAAATAAATGTTATCAATCGAGGCCTTAGTTTTCGTATTATTTTATGTCAATATTATTTTTTTGTGTTACATATTTCGGTTATGTGAACAATGTTTAAGCAAAGTAATTTGGATTTTTTTTTACTCGTATGTTATGTGGCACATACTCATATATTAGAAAACTGTGTTAATTGTCTCACTTTGATTAAATTTCACATAAATTTTTGCATTTTAGAGGCCATGGACCAGTGTGTTAATTTCCAGTCCTGTTGTCATTAATAGTATCTGATAAAAAAATTTAAAAGCTGTTTTATTGCATCTGCTTTGCTTAAAGGCAAAAAAAAAATTGAAACAAAGAAAATATGAATAAAAACTCTTGTGGAAAAATACTCACAGAGCACTAAATGTTGCATCCCTTTCGATTGCACCAAAATGTCTGCGTCATAACAAAAATCCTTTTAATCATAACATCGCAAAAAGATCATTATTTTTGTACGTTTACTTCCTGAAAGATTTTCGATATCACAGTTAAATTCCAGAAAGCTTGCAATTTGTGATAGCAAATGTGACTGTGGAGCAGTAGAATGGTTATTGGGGTTCAAAAGGTGACCACAAATAGGCTAATCAATTACTGCAGATATTTTTAGGTATTAAAATAATCGCAAATTTCTCTCAAGGAATTAATTTTCTGAAAAAACATATAATTTTTTTTGACTGATTTGGTTGAAATATGGGGGATCCACTGGAGATGTGGTTTCAATACTTTAGTCAGGAGAGCAATCAAAAGTTTGTGCGCCATTTTAAAGTGTGTTGTTTTAAGTGATGAAATTCGTTAATTCAAAAATAATTTCATGTAAAATTTAAATAATTATAATCTGTATTTATCTTTGTAAAAAAGAGTTTTATGCTATATAGTAATGAAAATTTTCTATAATATAAACATAAATAACGCATAGTAAATACTTTTAAGAAAAAAAAGTTGTAATATTGAATTAAAATGCTGTCTTGAGACAATAGTGTTTAAAAATTAGGTTTTTGGTCAATTGTTTCTTACATTCCCTCTGTAAAACAATCCTTATTCAATAGCAATTTTCTTACATGTCTAAATGCAGAGATGATTNTGTGTGTGTGTGTGTGTGTGTGTGTGTGTGTGTGTGTGTGTGTGTGTGTGTGTGTGTGTGTGTGTGTGTGTGTGTGTGTGTGTGTGTGTGTGTGTGTGTGTGTGTGTGTGTGTGTGTGTGTGTGTGTGTGTGTGTGTGTGTGTGTGTGTGTGTGTGTGTGTGTGTGTGTGTGTGTGTGTGTGTGTGTGTGTGTGTGTGTGTGTGTGTGTGTGTGTGTGTGTGTGTGTGTGTGTGTGTGTGTGTGTGTGTGTGTGTGTGTGTGTGTGTGTGTGTGTGTGTGTGTGTGTGTGTGTGTGTGTGTGTGTGTGTGTGTGTGTGTGTGTGTGTGTGTGTGTGTGTGTGTGTGTGTGTGTGTGTGTGTGTGTGTGTGTGTGTGTGTTTGTGTTTAAAAAGCATTAATAATTTGCTTAGGAATAGATGAATAATGAGATAAAAACTTTTTACACAGAAGCAGGAACAGAAAATTTCAATTAGTGATAATGACTTACGTAGAATTCTGAGTTAAAACTAATAGTTTTTTCTTTTCTTTTTTTTTGTGTGTGTGCGTTCGGTTCTTTTCTGGTCATTTTAATTTTACAGAAATTAGAATACAATCAGAAATCAGTATTTAATTTCTTTGTATTAATACTTAACAGCCAAATTCTTAACGTAACAAGTAGAAGAGGAAAAGTATCACGCTATAAAAAAAGGTTTCTGAAAATATGCTTTATACTATAATGCTTAAAAATTTCGAGAATAAATTTGATTCATAGGATAGATAGTACTATTATTTAACTAAAATTATTCTTACTAAAACTACTTACTTAAATTAGCCATTATTGATGCATCAAAGGTATTAAAAGAGTAAATAATGCTGACTGACTGATAAACAAAATATTTTTAATAACTAGAGAATTATTTTGCCACTATAATGAACTTTTGAACTCGAATGGCTTACAGCAAAATGAATGCGCAAAATCATGTGTTGCACATGGTCAAAAAATCCTTATAAGTATAGTAGTATCAAAAAGGTTTTTGTTAGTCCCTTTTTTTAGATTATTTAAAAAACCATTTTGCAAAAATGTTACTGTAAGCACTTTTTTCTTTTTTTTTTTTTTTTTTGCAAAATTTCAATAGTGGGGTTTTAGAAACATGTTACTTACTTGGAGATGTCTGAATAATTTTTATTCATTTTAGAAATTGTTTAAACTATTTTTCGGTTGTTTAGAATTTTCAATTTTTGAACAAGTGGTTGCCATTAAAAATGTAGATGCACTTTCTAACTATGCTCTGTATAATTTTTACAGCTTAGGATGTGGAATAGGATATGGGTATCTTCATCGAATCCCGACCAGACCTGCAAAAGTGGATGTCGTGAAATCTCCATATACGCAGATGCCTCAAAAGAGTGATGGATATTCAACAGTAATTTCAACAATTTTGAATTTCCTTTTTTTAATTAAGTGACAGAAGCAATGCTTTTTAAAAAAACTTTTTGAAACAGAAACTGTTATTTAAACAACTTTTGCTGTAATTGAACGTTGAATTTCATAGTCATTGTATAATGGACAACTAGTAATCTTTTCAGTTGATGGCTGTTAGTTGAGCCTACTGCCAGATCATAAATATTTCTCTCAACTTCGTTCTAAACAAGTATTGGTTTTGAAGTGTACTCTAATCGAGGTTTCCCAGATGTCAAATTAAGGTTTATTTTCACCCAGTAAAAACCTTTTAATGTAAACCTAAAAAGGCTTTTTATGCGGTTTACGTGTAAACCTTCTAATCTTAAAACGAGATCTGTGACCATCTGCTCTATTCAACGCACATTACCCTAATCCAAAACCTTTGAAAACAACCTTCTATATAAAAGCCCTAAATCGAGGTTGACTTGTGGTTTTCAAGCGTGAAGAAATCCTTTCATAGGGCTAGGATCGAGGTGAAAATAGTCTTAAATCTAGGAAATTATAAAGTTTCATTTCACAACGTCTTGTATGCTCAGTTAAAATCCACCTTGTTGTGAAGTTTTTATGGGCAATGCAATTTAATCCTATCGCTAGTGTGACATCAGCTAAAACGTCATTAAAGTGACCATTTTACCTCAATAACATTATTCTTTTAAAAAGTTTCAAAAATAATTTTTGACCCTTTTAGGAAGAAAGGTTTGAAACTGCAATATTTTTGCTTTGTTGAAAAAAGGTTTTTAGTACAAACATTTTCGTGACAATGAAAAGAAAATTCCAATACGAGATTTCAGTAAGGTTACATGTTTTCTGGGTTTATTACGTAACAGTTGAATCTCTTTCCTGGCTTCAAATAACGATAAGACTTGAGGTAAATATTTACAGAGGGTGGCCACGTGGGATACCTTGAATTTATTTTTTTCTAGAAAAATCAGGGAAATTTAAATAAAAATTTGAAGGAAAAACTGGAATCTTTTTTCATTCGTAAGAATTTTATTAATTTTGCCATCCATTATGCCCACTTTATTTAGGTGGAAACTTATTGCTAAACAGTTGAAATATTGCAAATTTAGAAATATTTTCCTTGCTTCCATTATAACTCTGTTTAGTTGTTAATAGAATGGGTAAAAATAAAAAATGAATTTTTGAATTTCAGAATGCTTTAGTGCGGAATAAAATAAAATTCTGTTGTAAATAGAATAAAATCGTCAAAATGTTTTAAAAATCTATTAATATCTTCTGTTTGCGCATTGTACTTAAAACTAATGAAAATTTGTAAAAGATCATTTATTTATTTATTAGGGTATTTAATTTTATAAAGTTCTCAAAAAGTTATTTGGTCCTAATTGAATAACAATTTTGCGCTCTTTCTCTAGCAACTTTTGTACTCTTAGCAAGGTTGCAAAAAAAAAACCTGCCCAATAAAACCCGCCAGGGTTTTACTGGGTAAAACCCACCCTAAAGTGGGTTTTACTGTGGTTTTTCTAAGATTGGTTTCTTTTTTTATCCTCTGTTATATTAAAGAGCTATTCTATTGAAATATATATGTTGTCTAGCCTAAAAAAAATTAACCTATAGTGAAGAAACTAATTGCGTTGGAGACTGAAGAGTCACCTTGCTGGCTAGATTTGACTATATGGCCATTGGTTCGCTTTTTATGCAAATAAAAAAAATTTCGCAAATATTTTTTAAGATTAAAATATAAATAAAAAGTAATCTTGTGTTGAAATAAGTTTCAAATGTGTGGTGTATGTGAGTACATATAACATTTTGTATTGTGATGTCAGAGGAAACTTTTTTTAGACTTTCACATCAATTTATTTGTAATAATTTTCTATATGAAGTCAATTTATAAAATTAAACTTAATTAATAATATTAAAATAAGCTTTTTTATAATGAGGTACTTATCCCTGCCCTCTCTTTTGAAACCCCCCCCATAAAAAAATGTAAACCCACCCGGGTTGGGTTTTTCTACAAAAACCCGGGTTTTTTGCAACCCCAAATCTTAGCCAAAGAAATCGTTACATTACTTTTTTCTCATTCAAGCCACACATCTTTTTCTTACAATTGCTTAGGACAAATTGTTAAAATTGTTCTATTGACACTAATTTTCACGATTCTGCTTTTACCTTTTAAAACATATTTTTAATTATACTGTTTTGTTGATAAATATTTGTGCCGGAAGTTAATAATTGTTGGGTGCATTCTGAAGATATTTCTATTTTTGTCCTTAAAAGATGACTAAAGAACCAAGAAATATGTGGAAAACATGTGTTGTTTCTAATGTCACTTGCCACTTGGGCAAGCCTGCTTGGTGAAACTGAGCAAATTTAAGGCAAAGTGTGTGTTTTTGTTTTTTCAGTGGTGCCATCCTATGGCCAAGAATTCGTCTGTAGCCACACATGTCACGGCCCGTTTTATAGGGCGGGCCCATTCATTCATTCATCCACAGATCGTAATTTTGACCTGAATCAGAAAATGGTCGATCTCCAATCCAGTACCCCCAGAGGTATTGATTTGTTATGGGAACATGGGGGACTTTGAGAATCGATAGACAAATTTAACGTGCATCAGTCACCATTTACTGCACGGGGACTCTTCGGCCAGCGGGGTTCGAACTCTCGGACATGTGCCCAGCGCCCTCCCGGCTAGGCTTAAATGATGAAACTAATTTAAACTAAAATAATGTGGCTAGATTGTGATTCCTTAAATATTTCGATTTGAAATAAAAAAAGCAAAAAAAAAAATAAATAATAATAATAAATTTAGAGAATTTCACAGAGCTTCTCTCTATTGAGTACGCAACATGATGTTCAGCAATTTTGCATTTAAATGAAAATTTCAAAAGAGAAATGAATCGCAAAAATATATAAGTGTATTTAATAATACTTGTGCAAGGTTTTTAGGTTACACTGCAGTTGCTTTTGTGCAAAATCTGCTTGAAGTAACACATTAAACATTTTTTATTCAATGAGAACTATATATTAAACATGTTATATTCTCCATGTCTATCTTAGTTTTTTAAAAGTTAATGCTTTACAAAAGACTAATTTTAAGAAAATGAAAAAATAAAACCTTGTTAGTTTTTTAAAATTTAGTCTGATCTAATTATTCTTTTAAATATTTTTACGAAAACAACTACATTTTAAATAAAAAATACGTTAGAATGTTGGCATTTTTCTTCGAAGTCAGATAAATTTGAACCTTTATTTGAGTAGCCACTACTGAATCTGCAATTCATTAAATAGTAAAACTCTACTGAAATGTAGGAATGAGACAGTACTTCTGAAGGTTTATTTTAAAAAAAAGAAAAGCCTGAAAATGAATTTTTTTTAAAAATCAGGAAACCTAAAAATAAAACAGTCCCAATAGAGCAAATAGAGACCAAAAATACAATTTTTATTATAATCTGGCCAATTTTTATTATACCTTAGTAATTAGGAATACAAAATATGATTCAGAAAATATCTCATTTTTATCTTCTTATAAAAAGTGGGCAGATTTTATGTTTATTGAAGAATCTAGTACTGAACTACTCAAAAAGAATGCTTTACTTATTTTCAGAAAAATAAATATTTTATGACAGTGATGTGTTTTTTCAGGTCCAATTGAATGCGACTAACCCAAGTTTCATCACACAAACTGTCCAACAAGAGCAAAATGGAAATCAAAGCATGCCACCTGTAGCAGCATCAGGTGATTCTAATAACTTATTCTCCCATTGAAGGAGCTTTGTTTATTTACAATCAAAACAATTATCTGACTCATTAACAACTAACCTCAATGACTTTCTTATTTAAATGAATTTTAAAACGAAGAAAGTTTATTTTAGTAAAGATTTGTGTGAAAATCTCACTTGCATTTATTGTCTGTGACTATTATTTTTGTTTTTGATACAAAATTTTCACTCTAAGGAACTATAAACATTCTCAAAAATGTCTTATTGGTGTTAACACTTTAGAAATTACTTTAAAGTAGGGGCTCGCCTTGCTCACCAACCCTCAATCATATAGCTGTTGTTAATCTCAGGGCTCACTTTTCTCATTTAATGTCACTATGTTAAAAAATGATTACTTTTATTCACTCTTTTTAAAGCTTAGTCACTTTTCTTTAAAATTTGCATTTCATCCAAATGGTCATAAAAGGGATGAAGAAAAATAGGGAAATTCCACTTTCAATTGAATATACCTCTTGAAATGTCGATCGAGGAATTATTCATCTGTCTTTTGTTTCTTTATCTCAAATGTTGTGGATTTCTTCTTGAACTGGATTTTCTTTTTCCATGGCACTTTGAAAGTGCTTTTTAATTTTGCTTCATAGAAATCAAGCACTCTTAAAAGCTCTTATTTTACATTGAAAGTGTTTATTATGCTATCTATTATTATTATTTTTTCCTTTTGAAAAATCTGATTTTAAAAAATAAATAAAGTTGTTATTGTGATATGTGAATTTGAGTGATCTCTTTTCCATCGTAAAACCATGTCTTTTTGTCATCCATTTTGTTTTATATTAATACAATGCTATATTTTTGATGTGTTACGAAATGCTCGTTTCAGGTTTCTGTAATGATTTATTCAAAGATCACTTTTTAACGCACTTAGTTCTGTCAGGATTCCACTTTTTTTTTTTTTACCATTTCCATTTTATATATATACATACAGGGCTGATTGTGCTTCGGAAAAAAATCCCGATTTCCGGATATTTTGCTAACCGTTATCCGGAAGTTTCCGGAGATCGAAGGTTCAGATGTTTCAAAAAATCATTAATCACGAAAGTTTTCGGAAATCAAATTTTCAAAGGTGGAACTTAAAAACACAGTTTATTTTATTTGTTTGTAAGCAGAGCTACTTTATAAGCTTATGTTCAAGATTAATATTAATTTTTTATCAGTAAATAGTTATTATAATCATAAACTCAAGAAAGAAAGATATATTTGGAAATTTCAATTACTTCTCCAGGTCATCATAGGTATGTGGAAAATGTTAAATATATCTTAAGTAAACTAAGAAATATTGAGAAAAAGGAAAAAAGCCTTGTTTAAATTTTTTTTGATTTAAACTTCTTCTTTTTTTTAACTCAAGAAATTTTCCGGAATGTTGACTTGGGCTCACAATCACCCCTGTATATATATATTATCTGATGTTATTATAGCCTGCATATTTTGAATTTAATCCCTTTAGAGCTGTAATCACAGTTTATGCTCATGCAATTCTTTCTTCACTGCACAAGTATCTCATATGAAACAAAACCTGTGGGACAGATCACATGGACGTGATCTCGATATGGTATTCTAGTTTTAGTACATTTAAACTTGTGTGAACCTTGAGAATTACTTTTTCTCCATACATTGAAGAGATTGAGGTAGTATCACTTTTTGAGGCAATATATTAGCAACAATTCTATCGAAAACCCACATTTATTTGTTGTTTTCTGCCAGTTCTAGTGATTTTTTCACATTTGATACTTTAATGCATTATATTTTACTTTAGTAATCACTTTTTGCTGCATTTGTTTCATGCCAATTTCATCGTAAAACTGCTTTGTTTTCCTCTAGTTCTTTCTTTCCTTCTTCTTGTGCAATAATAACAGTTATTTAACATCTCAGCTCTTCACTTCGTATTTAAAAACTCATCATTTTTTAGATTCCTCACAAGAAGTCCTCTCTGATAAAAATCTATTTAAAGAAAACAATAGCAAATAACTACAATTAATAAATATGTATTGATTTCACATGATAGCAACTATGTCTTGGCCTTTTTTTTTTTCAGTTTGGGAAAAGTAGATAATATTTCTTTAAAAAAAATCAATAGCAGTTAATTGAAATATAATTTAAAGTTATATTTCATTTCTACAGCATTAAATTTTTCTAAACAAATTGTTTTTCTTTAACTTATATATTTATATATGTATTTTTTTTTTTTTTTACTTTTATATGTTTTAACTTATATATTAACATCGTTTTTAAGTCACTATCTATCACTTTTTAAAACAATTTTGTAACTTTTTCACTACTTTATCTGCAATGACCTGTTGACTGATCATTAGATAGGGTTTCCACCAGTCAGGGAGAACAGGAAAAGCCTGGAATTGTCAGGGAATTTTATTTCAACTCCAAAAATCAGGGAATGGTCAGAGAAAGTTGCAATTTTTTTTACAAAAACCTGGAAAATTCCTACATTATACCTGGAAAAAAAACATCTTAAAATTATCAGTAACAGTACTCAGTTGTTGAGATTCGAGTTAAATAATTCTAACATCTATTACAATTATTTATTGCAAAAATTTCACATTTTAGACAAACTGAAATGCTTCCTTCCTCACATAATATTTATTTTACATAGAAAATCTAAACTTGGCATTACAGATAGAAGAATCAAAATTTTCTGATGAAAAATTTCGTAGCATAGATGGTATTGATTTTCATTGAAATTTACTTCATATACCTGGAAAAGTCAGGGAATTTTTTTTTCTGAAATTGAGTGGGAACCCTGATTAAATCAAAAGTTATTCAGTGTGATCTCTTTTTTTTTTGGCGCACTGTATATATTATAATAATTTTAGCATTTCCATATGGTGATAAGTTACCTATTCAGAACATCTACTTTTTTCAACAGATTTTTAATTCAGTAGATTGGCTGTCTATGTTTTCTTCAAGAAGTGTTGAACAAGATTAAATTATTTACCTGTGACATAGTTGTGAATAACTCAGACAGCTTAGATATTTCCCCTTCTTAAAAATCATACAATAACATCATTAAAAATGAAGATCTAAGTGTTTGAAAATTTCTTAGATTTTCAAGATGCTTTTTGACTCTAGACAATCTTTCAGTTTTAATAACACCTAAAAGCTTTTAATGATACAACGCAATTCTTGTTTGCATCTTTAAGATATTTATTGACACTTTATTTTAATTCATAAATTGCTTATATATTTTATTTATTACTTTATAAGTTAAAATTTATATATTTTTTTAAAGAAAAACTAATAGAAAATATGTTTTTTAAAAGTACATTATTTTTCATTTAGAGGTCATTTTTGATAGCTTTTTAAAGTTCTTTTTAAGCTCATTTTTTAATAATTTGAAATCCCTTGTTTGTGACAAAATAGTAAATAAATTATGCAGACAATTGAGTGTGTTTGTATTTATATTTTTCATCATAAATATAGTCTGGTTTTACATTAAAAGTGGTTGCTTACAATATGATTTTTATAACACACGAAAATCAAACTACTATTAGTGCATTTTTTTTAACACATTTTCACGAGAACTTTCTTTTTTCTTATTATTAATATTTGTGATAGTCTCTTTTTCAAGTATGAAACTGCTATAATGTTCTCAAAATATAAGTTTGATATTTTTTATTGCATTTCATGATTTTGAATTGTTTTTTTTTTTATTATAGTGCCCATTGTACCATCAATACCTACAATGGAGGCTGATGCTGGTAATACTTAAATATATTTTGTTTTATTTTATTGAAGTCGTATGATAATTTGAATATTAAATTTATTAACTGGAGAGCTGTGGTGACTCGCGGGCTCAGGGGCAGATTCGTGGCGACACTGCAACATTGTTGCAGAATGTTATTGAGTTCTTGCAGAAAGATTTTTCCTTAGAGAAGTAAAAAATTTAGCTTTTCTTTACTGCAGAAATTTTCAAAAGATTTCATCTTCAGAATTATATTCAAAAGATGCCTATCTCGTGACAAAAATGGTGCTTAAATGCTCTCATTTAACAAATTTTTAGCTTTGATTTAACAATCAACAATCGCTAAAAAGAAATTCATTACTTAAAATTGTGAATAGAGTGCACACCCTAATCCAAGTGTGTAATTATATGTATGTTTTAAATTTTTAAAAGAAAGTAGCATTAAAGAATTAAGATCATTTTAAAGTTGATTTCCTAATGTATAACTGATAATTTTTAAGCTCATAGTGAGCAATAATCACTTTTTTTTCATATCTGCATATCAAGGGGTATTTAGCATTGATGTTTTTATATCATACTGGTGGGTACAGACTACTTAGAAACTCCTTGGAAATAAAAATATCTCCAAGGAGTACTTGGAACTACTTAGATTTCCAAATTAGTCCTTAGAAACTCCTTAGATTATTGTGGTGCATAGATGAACTTACAAAGTCCTACTCCAGGGAAACTAAATAATATGACTTAGCTGTCAAAATCTAATAGTTTCAGGAAAATTTTAAAAGAAAAAAAATTTTAATAGCAAGAGTAAGAAGAAAAAAATTACAGCAAATAATTTTAATTTTACATGTTTCAAGCAAACTTAATTAGTAATTTAATGATTTTTTTTATTTTTTATAAAATGTCTTAGATTTTCTTACGCATTCAAATTTAAAAATATAAGATTGGTAGGTTTTTATGTTAATCTTTAATATCTGTACTTAAACAAGATTTATTAAAATATTTGAAACTGGAATATGTATTTATGTGTAAAAGTAATAACTTTATTTTTCTTGATGAAGTTTGACAGAGTCAAAATTTATTTCAAAAGGGCTAGAAAAAATATGCAAAATATACATTTTTGCAAGTTCCTTATAATAACTTCTTTTTAATTAAAAAAAAAACTTTCTAGTTATCTTTACACAAAGTTTTTAAATTTTTGATAAGTCCTTAAAATTTTGGACTCCTTGTTTTTCTTCTTCTGATCTCTGTATGAACCCTGGATATAAACCATATGATCAGTGGTCATGAGTTAGAATCCCTATGCCTTAACTGTGGAAAGTTTTCGTTTCCATGCAATACAAATGCAAGGCTAGTTTCCTCATGAAGGCTAAAATTGTCTTATTGGTTAATCCAATAGATTATGCTCTAGTGGCTTTGAAATGCAGTCGTGAGAGATTTCCACCAATTCACTGATTTCCTCCAAACCCTTGATTTGCGAAACTCAGCAAATCAAATATTTATGTTATGGGAAAATTTCCTCGGGGTTTCGCTGATCTAAATCTAAAATGTAACTTTTATAATTTTTGCGAAATCTGGTTAATATCACATTTGTTCCTCTCTTACCTCCTCTTTAATCCCCCCTTTTTTTTGCAGCCCAAAATCATGTTTGATTTCAAGTTTTTCACAAGACTTAGTTGCAAATCAAGATTTGTAACAAAATTTTTAAATCAATGCAGTATATTTGTTCCTTTTATTTTATTTGGTTTTATTTTTTATTTTATTTGGCTAAGTAAAGTTTTTTCGCACACTAGTTATAAAAATTAAGAAATTTGATTTGAAAATCTGAAGAAAGGAAATTTTCTTAGTGTTTATAGTATAGGTCAAAATCGACGGCTGCCTCTAATCACTGAGCAATGGAATGTAAAATGGCGATTCAAAATTTTTCTGTCACTTTTTGTCACCAATGCACCCCATAATTTTATTATTTCGTATAATTAATATGAAAATTCTTATCATGAATATTTTATAACATTCTGAAAATTATTTTATTCCATGCTTGTTTCCTAACATTTTTCTTCATTTGAGAAATAAACCTTGTAATGTTTACGATGGGTTGAGAAATTTTTTTTTTTTTTTTAAATTAGAGTTTTTAAAAAAAAGTGGCCATGTGTATCAAAAAGTGTTGTAGAAATAGAAAATAAAATGAAGGTGTTTATATTTTTAGTGAAGGCAGACAAAATGGATGCGTCTCTGAATAATGTTTGCATTCAGCCTCTAACGACAACCCTCAGTCTGCCTGGAATGCCTGTGATAACAGTGAGTGCAACGTTGCCCACAAATACTCTAGCAAATTTAACTATCTCATCACCTGATTCAACAACAACAACGGGTATGTATCCTCATTAATGCTCCTAAATTGTCCTTATTTGCACCAGTGGCGTAGTTTTAAGTGCATGTTCGAGGGGGGTTATCGCTCACCTCCTGATATATATATATATACTCAATACGTTTAAGCCTGGTTGGTAGGAAGCTGAACTCGCGTTCGTGAGAACGGGGGTTCAAATCCGGCCGACAGAAAACTGTGGGAAATGGTGACTGGTGCACGTTAAATCTGTGGAGTCACAAAGTCCTCCATGACAAATCAATATATCTGGGGGTTACTGAATTGGAGATGGATCATTCTCTGGTTCAGGTCAAAATCACAATCTGTGGATGTATGAATGAGTCCGCCCTATAAGCGGGTGTGTAAGAAGTCAAATTCGTAACCATAGATGGCAGCACGGGAAAACAAGACCAACTGCACCCCCTCTGCTGCCTTAACGGCCGACAACAACAAGCACTTAAACTACATAAAGTGAATAATAATACTTTTTTTATATCTGCATCCTACTTACCTTACAATAGTTAATTAATCAAGTAATATATATAATTTCAGAGGGGGTTTTGTCCCCCAATCTTCCCCAAAACTACGCCACTCATTTGCACTCAAGTTTGCCACAAACGACTGTTTGTAACTATTTTTGGCCTCTGAGGAGACTATGACAACTTTTTTGCCTGAAAGGGCTAGAAAAGCAATTATTTTCAGGAAAAGGAGACTTTTCTGTACTCCTAGCGATGTTCTTTAGCATAAATTGTATTGACATATTGACAACCTGTGGCCCACAGGAGCTTCTAAACACAATTAGTATTATTTTTTTTTCTCAATAAAAAGAGGTAAAATATGTTGAAAATTTTGAACTGCAAGTTTGAGTCATTACTTTTTAATGCTTTCAATTTGCTCAGATTCCATTGTAGATCTATTTTCTTTTCAACGGTTATTGCTACGAAATTCTGCGTGGTTTTTAAAAAGAAAAACAATTTTTTATACGATATTACGGTGCATGGATTTCGAATTCAAGTGATCACTTTTCTATATATGTGTATATATATATTTAAAATAAAAGTATTTTTTTGAATGAATTCTAAAAATTAAAAAAAATTTATTTTCTGTAAATATACAAATTTTTTTTATACATAAATATTTAGTGCTAGAACACTAACGATAATATTAAAATTACACTAACATTTATATAAAAATTATCATATTTGCCACATACTTGACTAAAGGGATCATGGTATATGACAATTAAGTCATTTAATAAAATTTTAGTCATATTATTGAACAAATTTTGTTCTTATTTAGGCAACTATTTTCATAGTTTTTAGCAACTATTTTGTTCATTTTTTTTCTGTGGCAACCCTGCACAATTAATTCGATGAAAGTATTAAAACTAAAATAATGCTCAATACATGTTCTACATTCATTAAAATTTGAAATGAGTGTCACTTGCTAAAAAGAAAGAAAATGTATGTACATCTGAACTTTTTTTTTTTAAATCTAAATTTTAATGAACATGATATCTTCTAATATTGCTAGATATCAGAATACTAAAGAAAAATTCCCCTTAAACTTGAAAATGCTCTGAAATGCAAAATAATAATAATAATAAAATGAAAATTTAAAGAATGGCAAAAACTAAAATAAAGTACCGCATATCCCTGTGCAAACCTCCAAAATTTTATAAAAATCAGCGGGTCAACTTATAAGTCAAAATAATAATGAAAAGAGATTCATTGATCTATGCATTTTAAGCAATGAGATAGAAATAAACAACTCTGTATCAATTTATAGCTTTTTTATTATTATTTTTTTAATTTTAGAAATTTTTATGTTAGGTTTTTAATTATTTTAAAACTTACCAAAAATGTGCTGTCTCGTAACCAAAGTTAGAGGATCAACTTGCATACAGTAAATGTCATCAAAATCAGGCCTGATGAATGACCTAATTAAAATTCTTAAAAATGACTTCAGAATGGAAAATATTGCCTGTAAGAATCAGAAAAAAATACAAATCTTAACTTTTATTTGGAAATTTAATAAATGGTAAAGTTATTGTTTGAAATAGGTTAATAAAATGAAATGTTAAAAAATTCCTGATAAAGACAGTAGGAATTCATGAATATTTAGTTACAATCGTCAGAATTGCATTATCTAAAGTTTCTTGATATTCTTAAAAATAAAAAAAAGTCAATATGAAAAAGTAAGATCTTGAAAACTGGGTTCAACTCTGTTATACAGTCAAACCTAAAGTTAACCAAATCTAAAATTCAAATCATTATCTAAAGTTTCTTGATATTCTTAAAAAGAAAAAAAGTCAATATGAAAAAGTAAGATCTTGAAAACTTGGTTCAACTCTGTTATACAGTCATACCTAAAGTTAACCAAACCTAAAGTTAAAATCATTATCTAAAGTTTCTTGATATTCTTAAAAAAAAAAAGTCAATATGAAAAAGTAAGATCTTGAAAACTTGGTTCACTATAACCGGGACTTCACTCTATCCATTCCACAAACAATTTTAACTAATGGTTTCAAACTCCTCTTTTTTATTACACATTATTTAAATAAATGACCCCATAAAATGAAATACAAAAATTACTGAAAAATAATATGCAGTATAAAAAAAATTTGTTAACTTTTATTTTTTATTACTCTTCGCCTTGTGTACAAAAGAATAGTAATCCTTAGCTGATGTGCAATCTTCCACATCAGATGTGGGAACACACTTCCCGACTCTCCCATAATTTTTCCTGAATTTTTGTTATTCTGCTTTTAAACCTGTCTAACCAGCCATTCTAGCACATAAAAGTAGTCTCATCCAATCATTTAGCAAATTCATCGACTTTAACTTCAAGCATTTGTCCAGATACTGGAAGATTGCGGCTTCTTTGAATGCTGAACCCATTCAATAATGAAGCAAACAGTAAAAAATGCTTGTTGCTACATTCCATGCTATAGATGGTTTTGAAAATTGTTATATGTATTCATTTTGAAGTAGAAATTTCAAAATTATTACATAAAAAAATGAAGAAAATAAATCAGTCGAAGACAGAAAAAAGTTCATACTTCCTCTCTTCATTAGGTTCACTGTATCCACAAAAAATAATATTATAGGTGTAAAGCATGGCACGGGAGCGAACATTTCGTTCACTACATCCCGGGAATTCACTATAGTGGGGTTTGACTGTATTTAAAATAACATTATTTAATGAAGAAAATGGTTATTCTAACATGCATGATCTTATAGGTTCTCATACAGAAGTTGGAAATGGTGATAGTAGTTCATATTCAGGCCCTGCTATGCCTGCACCTCAACATGTCTGAACTTGTCATTTCTTGTCTCTACTAGAACAATAACCCTTCTATTTCACTGTATTTACCACCAAACACTGAATCGATCATCAGACTTGTTTTAGCTTCAAAAAAGAAAGTTCTGTTCTCTCTCTCTGCACTGGTGTTTATTTTGCAAAATTTTTATGTATGTTATGTATTCACTTGGCACTGCCAGGGAGCAATTCAAATATTAGTGACAGAAGAAGGGTTTGTAATTTGCTTATTTTTGCTGATAAGGGAGGAGAAATGCTTTTGTTAAAAAAGAAGAAAAAAAACTTCTTTTTTTTAAAAAAAAAAAAAAAATTTTAAAAGAAAAAAGGAAATATTACAATTGTAAAGAGTACAAATTTGTAATAGGAAAAGAAAGAAAATATTTCTTAAAAGATTTCCGAGATTCAGATTTTTTACCTCAAAAGATTCAAACAGAATATTCCACTCAACATTTTCTAAAATGAATGATGACAAGGGTCTGTCCAGGACAAATTTACTACCGTTTAGCGGTATCTTCACAAATTCAACTTTACAGAAAACGGTAGTTTCACAACACACTTTTTAAAATAAAGCAAGTTCTAAGATTCTTCGCCTCTTAAAATTTTGTTTTTATATCCCCCCCCCCTCAAAAAAAACTATAAATCCCCAAGTTTTTTTGAAATGAAACAACGAGGTTCTCACTCTGTAAACTATACAGCAAGTCAAAATTCGAATATCATTCTAAACATTTGAACATTATTGTAAATTTATTCTAACAGAACTTTATTTTTTATTAAATTTTTTTCTCCCTATGAAACTTTTTTCTGTATGAGCTAGTTGAAAATGTTCTCTTAATTTTCTTTTAGTTCTAGTACTGTTAAATGCAAGTCGAAATTTAAATATGGAGAATGGATTTTTAAATTTGGATAGAATTTTAAGCTCGAAATTTTACAGTAGCAAAATTATTTTTTATTATATGGGGGGAAATATATCAAAATTGACCAGTTATAAATGATTTTTATTTGTAGTGACCATTTTTAAAAATAATTTCTTGTTTTACCATAGTTTGGTGTTGATTTTTTAATGTAACTTTTAATTATCGCATATTATGTCTAAATTTTCACAAAGTAGATACCTCTAAAAAAACCTGGACAGACCCCTGGATAATGTATTTTATGCTAAGTTACGAACTTTGTGCTAAATATGTACTTAGCACTAAGAAACATCTTTATATTTGAATTTAATTCTAAAATTAGTTTGCGACAATAAAAGTATAAAACAATGATGAATTTCTTGCGTAAACATGGAAGGCGTTTTTGCTTATTTGTGCTAACAAGGGGGGGGGATATGCATTTGTAATATTTGAATGGCCTCCATGCGCTGCAACCAACAACACCAGGCTTTAATTTACTTTCATTGTTTTCAAAATTCTTTGTAGTATTTTTTCTTACAAGAACTCTTAAAATATTCTTTTGATAAGTTTTCATTTAAATGTGTGCATAAAATGAAACTTTTGTTTTGCATTTACATTTAGATAATTATTTACCGATCCATTATTTTTTAATTATTTGTTGAATAAATAAATTATATATATTATTGATTCTTGTGGTTTATATGATGAGATTTCCTTTTATTTTTTCTTCTTTTTTTGCTATTAAAAACAGAAATAATGTGGATAAAAATAATTTCTCATCTCTAAAAAGGATAAAATAATTTATCCTTTAAATCATTCCCTTTTTCAAAATAAAAAAAAAATGTGCATGTAAATTTAATTTTGAAATTCAAACTATGTTAATGCTATTTGAAGGAGAAGGGATTTTTAATTATAGGTTTTGCATGTTTTTTTTTTTTCACAATGACAAATGGAAGTAATAGGTATAAAGTATCTTCTCATTTTATGAATTATCCTCAAATTTCACTGCCTTACAATGTGGTGAATAATTGAGTTTTACATCAATATTTTAAATATTCATTTTTTTAGAAAATTAAGATAGTTGAAATAATGGTACATGTTCAATTTAATTTTACTTTTTAACTAATTTTTAAAAATAGTCCCTTTTACACAATGTTATGTTTAGGTTCCTACATTATTTGGTATAACAAATATAATTTACACTTTTGTTAATATAGTTAACATTTTACTTTTTAATTTTATGTAAATTGGCAATGAAAAGTCATACTTTTTGAGTGAGAATCTTGAACTTAGTTTGGTGACTCTAAAGAAATAAGTAAATGATGAATGTTATTTTAAGGGTGGAGATGCTTTCTTTTTAAATTGTAGATTTTGTATGCTATTATTTTTCTTTTACTTTTTTTTTACATTTTGTGAATTATTCGCAAAGTTCTTTTATTCGTTATCCCCTGTATTACAACAACAAAAAAAGCATATGAATTTAGTTTTTCAATTCTAAAAAATATGTTAATAATGAATGCTATTTGAAATGGAAGAGTGCTATGTTTTTAAATTATAGATTTTGCATGTTATTCTATTTTTTTTTCCTGTTACATATGGAGATAGTGTGGATAAAAGATTTTCCAATTTTGTGAATTATCCCCTAAATTCACTTATCTCATTCAATCTAGTATTGCAACAAAAAAAGCATATAAATTTAGTTTTTTAATTTAAAAAAGAAATTTAATAATGAAATCATGATTTGAAGGGGGAGAGAAGACTGTTTTTTGTCAGATTATGGATTTTTGTATATTTGCATTTCATGGTGTATTATACTTTATCACTGTTTTTATGTGTGTGCGCCAATGAACAGTTAGCTTCATTGCATACATTAAGTACAATTTCCAGTTCTTTTTTTAACTTAAAATATTTTAACGTAAACTTTAATCTTCTTTTTTACCAAAACAAAAAAAAAGAAGTTTTATTGAAATAATGGACTATCCCAGAGTTTTTTCCGATACAAAATCTTTTTTTCCTGATTTCTAGCTTTTTGTCTTGGTGTTCTTGTTTTTTGTGTATGTTCACAACGTCCCAAGTTCTACAAATACAAGTGCTGGTTTTATTATAATAAAGAATCAAAAGATATTTTATGCTACTTTTATTTTAAGTAATAAATAATGATTGTAAAAATCCCAAAATTCAATTGAAAAACAAGGTAAAATTGGAAATTTTATCAAGCTAGGAAAATTAAGAAAATGTTAAGAAATTTTATTAAAATATCCAAAATATCAAGGAAAATGAACTAGTTTGATGCCAAGTCCAATATTTTCTTCCAAAAAACGGTCTTTATGGTCCAGATTAACCTAAATAAAAACTTGTTTGAAATTAATAAGAATGAAGTAAATTTGAAATGAATTTTCAAATTTACTTAAAACAATGCGAATTTTTTTTTACTTAGAAATGAGAATAGAAAAATCAGGAATATTTCTCTCCTTTCCAATGAACGAGAAAAATATCTTTAGGATATAATTCTGATGAAAAGAAGGAAGAAAAAATTATTTTATGGCTTCAATTCTTTCTTTACTCTGTTTTTTAAATTTGAAATCTATAAACATGAAGATGCAGAGTATAACAGTTTTGGTTATACCTATCATTTCAATTAATGTTATAATAATTTTTTAAATTTAGCTTTGTGTTATTGTTGGAGTAAATAGTAACTTTGGTAAGTCATGAAAAATACTTTGACTTATTCATGGAAAGTCATGAATTTGAAAATGTAAAATATAGCAGATACCCTGTATGTGTTTTACAAAACCTTTGAATAAATTGACCCATCTCTCTGAATCAAAGACCTTTTCTTGAAGAAAAAAAATTTTGGTTTACATTTAAACTACTCGGATTGTTTGATATCCACTATTTTTAAACTGACTAACATTATCAAAATATTTTTCCTCTTTCTTCCTTCAAGCTTGTATTTCTTTTGTAAGTCAATTTGTTTACAATTTTGCTGAACTCTGTCATATTAAAAGAGCAATATCAGTAATACATGAATTTCACAAAATTGACCCATCACCTTAAATCGAAAATCCTTTTTTTAAAAAAAAGATGTTGGTTTACTTAAGAAAAAAAAAACTATTTGGGTTGTTTTGTATTTTAAGCTAACTCTATTATCAAAATATCTCCCTCCCCCCCTTCAAACTTGTATATCTTTCAAGTCACTTTGTTATGATTTTTTAAGCACTCAAATCCTGCATTTTTAGTGGAGATTATATAAGCAAAACTCTATATATTTATATCGTATGTGAAATCTAATTTATGAAAGTATTTATTTTAATTTTTTTTGTTTGTTGAATTTATGATATTTGGAAATAAATTATTGTATACTTGCTAAATGTTTTGTTCAGCTACTAAATTTTTTTTTCTTCCCATCTCTATCCAACTTATTTCTCTCTCTTTATAAATGAATGAATGTATCACTTTATGGAAGTGGGGGACAAATCCCCTTGCTTTCAAACTATATAATGTTTGTGGAAAATTTGGATGATTTAAACAGAGGATTTAAAACAAACATGGAATGATAATAAAAAGTTTGTATACAGTGAACTTTTGTGGCTACTACCAATAATACGTGCAAAAGGCTACTACGTTCAAAAGGATACTACCAATATTTTATGATACATTTATTTGTTTCTTAACCGCTTCCCTCAACAATTATTTTGAAGATAAAAAAAAATTTCAAAAAATCAACATATTTTTTTATTTTATTAATAAATACAAGGAGCTGAAACAAAACATAATACACAAGTTTTAAGTTGAAATTTTAATTTTTTTTTTATGTTTAAGAACCATTTAATTTACTATCACGAGTGTCCAGCAGTGGACTGATCGTTAAGACGCAGATCACCGAAGTCAAGCATCACTGGCTGCAGGTAGGTGACCACTTGGATCAGTCTGTGTAAGGACCGAGGGTGTGCGGTATGGGTCCTCGTTAAACTGTTCTACCGTAAAGTGCTTGCAGGTCGTCGGGCTACAGAAGCAGGGGTGCCATCCCCTCTGCAGAGGATCGAAATTGTGATGGTATGTCTTCGGATCATCCTCATCGATGTTTCCCAGACCGTCGCCAATAGCCCATTGTGCAGCTCTAGTGCGACGTAAATGAACTACTACAACTTTCCCGAGTTATCTGGAGCAAAAGAAAAAAGTTAAATATTAGTCTTTGTATAATAGTTCTTAAAACAAGGACAACACAGTGATACTTTTTCAAACGTCAGTGAAGGAGTACACCATTTTCTTTTTGCTCTGTCAATTCAGCCCTATATTGTTTATTTATACCTCGACCCGCCCTATTCAAGGCACACGAGAGTAGAACAAACATTCTACAGACAAAACATACATAAAACACAAAAAATTACATTAGCAGCAAGTATAAATGGCATATAAAGAATAAATTAAAATATGAAAATATTTACACTATAAAATACAAAGGCATAGTGAAATGCCTTAAACAAAAGCATAGAAAATAATTTTAACGTAACTTTAAACTAAAGCACAGAAGTTAAAATGCATTTTAACTCTAAAATTAAGTATATCATGTTAAGTATATCATGTTAAGTATATCAAGTTATGAATATCATTAAT